AATGAAGATTTGAAATATGTGAAAGACAGAGTGATCACACTGAAAGATTACGAAGAAGTTGTTTTCAATTGCTGCTTATCCCTTCAACTAATAGTCGCATGTTTGCTGTTTGTAAGCAACAACGCTCGGATTCATATTCAGAACTGATATCAACAAACGAATGGTGAATTCAAGAAGACAATCCGTTTCCACGATTGACGAGTTACGATACCTGTCTAGAAATCGGAGAAGAAAAGAGTAACCATAGAAACGGTAGCTGTTAGGAATAATATACGTTGGATGAAAAAACATTCTACAGTTGCTACTCAAACTATCGAATTTGTATTTTTCGTTGAGCATTTTTACAAATGAGGATTTGAGTAGAGTGCATGTAAACATGTGAACGAAATGAATCTCTTTGATAACAGTTGATAATTGAACGAAACCCGATACCATCTATAACTTCGAAACGTGCCGGTGCACTCAAATGAGCAAAATGGTTCACTTCTGAACTTCATCACAATCAACGAAAAAACCAATCCATAGAATAGTTTATTCAACATTTTCACTATCGTAATAAAACAAAATTGCGATAGTTGTTCACTTTGCATAGGGACTCACTCACATGCTTCATCTCACGAAAAGAGGCTCGTAAAGCCCTGAAAATTCACATGATTACATCGGTATATTATAGCTGTAACGCACCATCACAACAATTGTGCAAATGTTCAAATTGCTGATCTTATGAGTGGTAATATGGGTCCGAGTTTTGAGAAACTGCGTTGAAATTTGTTAGAAGTGAAAACGGTTTTGATAGCATCGCTCAGCAGGCGATTCCATTCATGGCAATCGTGTGATGGAGAGATGCTGTTTCGAGTATTTGATGCAAAATGATACTAACTCGGCAGTATTCAGCGTCTAGTTTCCTGATCTGAGGCAACATACGAATCACTTTACTTCGATACGTTGAACTGTCCGAGAACGGATTCATCTCAAGATAAACGAGTACAAGACGCGGCAGTTCAGCAAGCTCCTCTACATCATCTAATATTTCTAACTGAAAATTTCGAAGTTGAAAATTAAAATTTTCGCACTAATGTAAGTGAAAACGATTTTTAGAGAATCAGTGGTTTCACCGTATTGATCTCTCACCTTATTACTTCTTGCCCAAAAATCAGTGAGATTCTTCAAGTGCCGAACTCCATCGATACGCGTCAAGAGATTGTGATTGAGATCGAGAATTTCGAGCTTCTCACAAGTCTCGAGTCCTTCGATTTTTCGCACACCATTTTGCGACAGATACAATTCGCGGAGGTTTGGTAGTTTTTCGAGATGCTTGAATGATGAACGGTATTAGAGTTGATAAGGTATAAAGTATTGAATTCGATTGAAATATTCACAGAGTGGACAGTAACGTGCTTTAGAATCTCCTAATCCGATCCAATGAGTTGAGTATCGACCAAAAGGCGCGCAAAGACTGATTACAATGCAAAAAATAATTGCCCGAAAAGACCAGTTCCAGCAATCAAGAAATACATGAACTTACACCTTAAATCTATCACTTCTTTTTCAAATCTAACGATAGGCAAATCAACGAATCTCCAAGAATGCTTCTGATAGAAAATTACGCCACACAAACCTTTATTTCTTGAATGGCGTTTGCTGGAAGACTGAGCACTTGAATGCAAGTGAGATTGTCAAGATTTTCGATCTCACGAATTTGATTTGCCCCGAGGAAGAGACGTTCAATTTTGCAGTTTGCCGACAGATTCTCGATTTTCTTAATGCGGTTATCACCCAATTCCAAATACGTCAATTCGGTTAGCTGTAAATACATAGTGCAATCGGTTTAACTGACGGTCTTGTCAGGAAGATGGTCTTGTTAGGTCGAAGCTGATGGTTTAACAAGTCACCAGGCTGGCGGGACTCCATGGAACATTTCGAAATGAATTTCAGATCGGTTTTAGGACGATAATGACACAAATAAAATCAGTTATTAATGACGACATTGTTAACCTCTGATAATCCCTCAATTTTTTCAAGCTTGTTGTGTACGAAAAACAGTTTCTTTAAATTCTTCAGCGTTGAAAGTCCTTCGATTTTGGTGATTCGATTGAACGATAGATCTAACACTTCTAAGTTCACTAATGCTTCCAGATTTTCAACTTTTGTGATCTGAAAGCAACACAAAATAATTTTGTGTAGAAAAAAAACCACAAATATATCGCTCATACATCGTTGTTTAACGACAAACGAATTGAGGGGTGCAAATTGCCTTTGAAAAATTTACCGTGAGGTAGTGAGCATAACTAAAATAATGAATTTTCAACGGATCGGCATAAATATTTATTGCAACTGGTTTTAATGCAAAGCTGTGAACAATTACTGGATATCGAATGAAACTTTATGTGAATTGCAGAATTAACGAGCATATCATTTCAGACTCTATTTTCTCATGACAACGGACTTTTTCACAATTGTGCAATTAACAATCTCATTGAATAGTTTGGCGATAATGCAATATATGGCTAACTTGATTATCGTAGAGGTCGAGTTCAGTTAAAGTCGTGAGATTTTGAAGATTTTCGATTTTTTTGATCAGATTCCATCGAAGACACAGCGATTCAATGCATTTCAAAAAGTCGAATCCTTCAATCTTATTGATCCTTCGGCGAGTCAAATCAACCTCTTTCTCATTCGCATCAATCTGTTCAAGAAACATTGAATCAGATTATCGACAATGAGCCTATATCAAGTAAGAAGTAAATTCAAAAAACATAATCGACTCAAAATATATTCGTGTTAGCAGGTCGTTCGATTACCCAGTTCTTAGGTCGCTTAAAAATATCAGCAATGTTAAGTAGCAACGATAGTTTTTAGTATATTACAATCACATTTTTTATTCAAACCGTTTTATTTATTGTTATCGGATATCGATTAGGCGCCGACTCCTGAAAAATTGAAGTTATTCGATCGAAATAACCTCAATCAGTTCCTCTTCTTGGTCTTCACTCTTAACACCACCAATATTTCGTTCCAATTCGTTGTCCTTTAGCACCTCAACATCCGCCATCGCCACTTCAAACTCGATCAACCAACCGGCTGATAACCAGAGCAGAAACACAAA